CGGCAGGAACGACGGGAGAGGCTACTCCAGAAGCATCTTGACTCAGCATGGCTTCCGGAGGAAGCGCCATGGGACACTTGGGCTTCCAGCTTGGCTTGGGTTTCGAAACGCCGTCCACGAGCTTGACTTAAGCTTCAGATCCTCAGAGATTCACAGCGGCAAGTCGATCTGCAGGAAAATAAGAAAATAAGGAACAAGTTAGTAACCTTCTCAGAAAATCGTTAAACGGTGAAGCAACTGCAGAAAGAAGTTGAACGATGTTGCACAATTCGGGATGTTGAGAAAAGCTGCTCTTACCTTCGCTCGGCCGTCTCCATCCAGGTGGTAAAGACTTGAATGGCAGCGGTGACGGGGATGTCGCACCACCAGCGGTGACGGGATGTCTTCCCGCTTTAAGCTCTTTCCGCTTGAAGCTCTTTCCGCTTGAACCTTTCCGCTTGAACATCTTTCCGCTTGAAGCTCTTCCCGCTTAAAGCTCTTTCTGCGCTTGTAGAGATGATCTTGCGGAACGTAGATCTGCAGTGGAGATCATTATCTTGTCGCGGTGATATGTTGCCGCGAAAATCCGTCAGCACACGGTTCAGCCCGAAACACTTGGCAGCTCACTCCTCACGACACCTAACCTACCCAACCCACCCCACACCCTCTAACTCAACGCCGCCTCATGCTTCGGGCCTCCCCGTGTGCTTCAGGTAGCTTCAGGAGCTCATTGAATTGGAGCCTTTTGAAAATCCTTCCGTGAGATTGAGAAGGAAGGAAAAAAACGATACAAATGCAACCTCGCTAGATTATATGGAGCGGATGAGATGCTCGAGAGAGGTGGGTGCAAGCGGAAGGTAGGTGCTGAAGCAGAAGGAAGGAAAAGCGTGCTGCTGATCAGTGGAAGCGCAGCCATTCTCAATGGCGGCGGTCGCGGTACGTGTTAGCGCCTCTTCAACCCAAAAGTGATAGGTGAACGCAGGTTGGAGTCCTACAAAAAACTGCATTTACATAGGTGCAGTGCGGTGGGACGGGGCGCTCTAAACTGAATGAGAGGGAATTCCTGGATCCTGACACCAGCCTGGGCGTGCGGTGCGAAAAAGTACAGTGTGATGTGAATGGATGGATGGTGGTGGTGCAGCTGACCGAAACGGTGAACAGGTGTGGTAGCTTGGGTCATAGACCAATGAAATGCCGCGCTGATATTGCGGCAGGGGACATTCGTCGGGCGGCGCGTGGGGAACATTTTGGGGTGGCTCAAGTCCCCGCCTTATCCAGCCAGCCCAACACAGGTTGTACAGTCCATACGTTCTACACGTTCGGGATAGAAATTGCAAAATGGTTTTACTTCGTCTGCATACAAACGCGTTTGCCAAAAGCGCGTAATTCTGGTTTGGGAGGCTTGTGGAGCACACTGATGTTCAACAGCAGGGCAGGCTCGAACTTCTAGGAGGTGGTTGACGTGGCGCTTTCTTTAGTTGGGCCATGAGTTTTTTTTAGCGAACGCGTGTGAGTTTTGCGTGAGTTGCGGGACGGCTTTGGTTTAGTTATGGGAGTCGTGAGTGGCGCGGTAAAGTTCAGCTGACTGGCTAAATCTGACTCGGGCAGGCAAAACAATGGGTGGATGAAATGAGATTTACGTGAGCCAATAGATACGGTGTTTTTGCCACCATGGCACACCCACCACTGCATTATCAACAATCCGAACCTCGAGTTGCCGAGCCTGCCACACCTAAGCCTCTTCCTCACCCGTCATATTCTCCAGATGGTATAGTGCGAGACTTGACTTGCATTCAGTGGTAGTTTTATGTCTCATCTAGTTAGCTGTTTCTTGAATCTTGTTTCTTGTTTACCAGATCTTAGCGCGGTAGTCGACGTGGTGCGTACGTGCATCTTCTTGTTATGGCAGCGAGTTTCAACATTGCGACGTGGTTACACACAAAAGGGTCGTTTTTAGTATTCGTCGCTTCACGCGTTTGGTAGCGTTCTTGCAGAATCAGATCTGATATCAGACATTTCAGTTAGTAGCCCCACCGCGTTCGGTTGCACGCCTCCAGATCTGACGTTTTTATTACTTGCGGATCACGGACGGAGTAGTATCAGTCGCCCGCGGACGAATTAGTCGCGTCGCTTTCAAACGCATTAGTAACGCAGCGCGTATCGCCGTTTTAAGGGCGCGTCGACAGTAGCCGGACGCAAGACGGAAATAAGGAGGGCGGGAGGTGAGTGGCGGGCAGGAAAGGCGGAATGAACGGGTGGAGGTATTATCTGAGGACGGAGAGGATCCGCAAAAGGTAAGAGTCTAAGCAGCCAGTTTCCCCTTTAATTTTCCGCTCCCACCTCCCCCTTACCCCGCTTTCCCGCTCTCCCCCGTCTTCCCCGCTCTCCCCCGTCTTTCCCGCTCTCCCCTCATCTTCCCCGCTCACCTCTCGTGTCGCTTCCGCGCTCTCTTGCTCTCCCCCTCTGTAACCACCTCATCTCCCCTCCACTCCCCCCCTCGTTTCCCCCTTCTTCCCCTCCCCCCGTCTTCCCCCATTTCCGACTCATCCCTAATTCCCTCCCCACGCTCATATCTCAATTATTCCCCCAATCACGCTTCATCTTCCTCCCCATCCACCCTTGTTCCCTCCCCTTCCCTACCACCGCACCCTCATGATGATGTGGCTACTTGTGATGTGGCTGCATGTGATGTAGCTGAATGTGATGTGGCTGCATGTGATGTGGCTGCATGTGATGTTACTGCGTGTGATGTGACTGCTTGTGATGTGGCTGCATGTGATGTTACTGCGTGTGATGTTACTGCGTGTGATGTGACTGTATGTGATGTGATGTGACTGCAGGTGATGTGGCTGCTGCTCGTGATTGCTGTGAGTCTTCAGTCAAATTTGTGAATTTCCCGAACCCGTGAGGCACTGTCTTTTGTGTGACTTCTTGCTTTAACAGCATGCCATTTGCCTTACCCTATCAGCTGCGCTGGGTGGTCTCTGGCTCGTGGCTGCATGTGATGTGACTGGTTTGCTTGGCAGCCACAGCAACACTCTCTTTGGTTCCTGGTTTGACACTTGGCCGGCTGCCCATGATTTGCGAGCAGCAGCCCCACTGGTTTCTGCTATTATACAACCTTTGATAGGTTGAATAATGTAGCCCGTTCGTACCTAGCATTTTGATAGTACATTTTTCTTTTGTACTGTCATGTCAGATTCACACTCCTTCAGTCTGCTATGCAAATCTGTATACCCTGACAGTATGATGATGCTGAAGTTGAGCAGTTGCTGACAAGGAAACAACATACCGCCCAGCCATGTAATGCTGAATACAGGTGTACCGGTGGTACTAAACTCCTGGCAACTCAAGAGGACAAATCCACCCAACGTTCACACTGTTCACGTTGCAAGCATAAAGCAAGCTCAGCTCAGTCTATTGGTAACTTTAATCAGGAGGCTTGCATTGCAACCTTGGGTGGGGTCCCTTGTACCTTAGTTATTCCTATAAACCAAGAACAACAAATTCTGTAGCTGGGGTGTCGACAATGGTGCTTCATCCTAGCTATTGGGAGTGTAGGTGTAGAACCCTTGGCTTCACAAGCTGCCGCAACCCGACGGAGCAAAAGCAACTGACGGAGCGACAGAAACGCGGGAAGAAACCAGAGCCAAATAGGACGAGTCGGCTTGCCTCGTACCGGTATGTCATCATCGCTGCAATCTAAATTATGCGGCGCGACCAATCGTCACGCTTCGCCTCGCGCGTCGCCCGAACTCGCAACTAGGGCAAGACCATGAGTACGGATGCCAGTTGAAACGAGGGGTGAAGCTCGTAAAGAGTACTCCCACCTCAAAGAGGGTTAGAAGGCTTAGGCTGTAAGGAAAGATCAGAGTTCGCTAATAGCAGGCGCGGTCTTGTGTTACGCACCGACGCTGTCAACAGGTAGTAAAGAAAACCATGGCCAGGAGCTTTTCGTCAGTGCGAACCTCCTGGAAGAGAAACCTACGGTGCGACCGACAGCAACATTGCGAAGCCACGTGTATAGCACGGTCGCGCGAAGGTCTCTGGACGACCTGTCGTCGGGTGGTAACCAGCGCTGGCAATTGGCGGCAGCGGGAACACGGAGGCGGGGTTGGTTGGGGCAGGCGTTGGGGTACGGTGGCTGCATTGACGTGCTGTGGAGAACACACGCGGAGTCAGAAAGCTAGGTCAGAGTTGCCGCCGAAAACTTGAGGGTTTGAGCTTCAAACGAGCAAATCTCGCCTCTGGGCTCACTTCTGATATCAAATCGTTTACGCAATTCGCATGAGGTAAAGCTTATGCTTGTTATCAAGTTGGACTTTGAAGAAGCAGGAGGTTTGCTGCTGGTTACCATGATGAGCTCTTCGTGGGTACAGCTTCGCGAAAAAGACGCAACCCAACCCCGAGCTCATCTTGGCATTGCATGGGGAGGGAGGGAGAAAGCGAAGTTGAGGCCTGAGGTGGCCAAATTGCCTGTAATACACCAATTTTCATAAGGTTCCACACAATGACAAATCCGAAATAAATCAACATACCTTGATGCCAAGAACGGCTCCATCCACTCAAACGCAGTCTGCTCTGATGCAACGCCTGCAGATGCTTGAGCAGAGAGATGGACCGGTGCAGAAATGTTTGCTGGAAGCTAGAGCTCCTCTACCAGCTAATCTTGTTTCTGAACCAGCCTCTGGAAACCCTCACGATTCCTGGGAAGTAGCATCCATTGATGTTTGCAGCTCAACTGATGTCCCTAGCGTTCAGAAACCATGGTAATTTGTGGCACAGTAGATAATTGAATTTCTTCTTAGAATGCTCTCCACAGCACCACCTTCATTAGGATCCACGCCAACTTTGTACCTGCTAAAATAAATCAATCCAGTTTAGTCATTTCTCTTAGCTCAGATCACCGAGAGAATCTCAGATGCCAGTGATAGATCCCCGCAAGTGCATGTAGTCTACCGTTTCAGTCCAATCTCCGCTTGAATTCGTTCCTGCGCAGTTTTCCATATCTTGCATCAACGATGCTGTACGGCCTCAAGCACAGACGAGGGGAGGTCCCACCAGAGAAGCGCAGGTAGCCGTCGTTTCCGCCGCCGCCCTCGTTCGCTTTCTCGCGCATTCATCCGCTCTTCTCCGCTTCAGATTCCACCAGCTTTTAATTTCTTCGTCGGTTTCGAACGTCGCGTGAGCAGGAGTCCGCGTTGCAAGACGCGTATCAGGAAGCCCTCGTTAAAATCGGAAATGGCCGTCTGTCGGAGGCGAGAGAGGCTCTGGAGGAAATGTCCTGCCATCCGCTGTGGGAGGAAGTCCAGGTAGGGTCGTTGCGACCCCTGCTCGCGTTTGCCGCTACGCGTCGCGTGATTTTCTATGGCTGGCCAGGAGCTTCGCATGTTTAATTTAGAAATCCGCTCCACTCGTTTTAGACGCGTTCGAGTCGTAATCTTGTAGTGCGTCAGTGTTGGCTCGACTTGTGGCGTCGCATGTTTAGACTCAGCCGTCGCTGACAAAAGCGCTCGTCTGTGGTTGTCGTCGCAGGCTGAAGCAGGGGGAGGGCTGACGGAGATGCGTCACCTTCAGTAAGTCAAACCGTTCCGTTTCGATTCCTCGCGTTCAGTCTTCTTCAAGTCCGCAGTGACCTAACCACGGCAGCGCTTCGCTGTGTCGCTGATACAGATTCCTCGTGTGGAAGAACCTTGGCGACGTGTACGCGAAGCTGGGGAGTGACTATAGCGAGTCAGCACTGCGTGCTTACGTCACAGCGACGGAGATCGACGGCCAGGATGTCGTGCTCTGGCACCGACTCGGATCCATGGCTCTCCGAACCGCAGGTCGAGCTCGCCTGGCAAGATACGCGTTGGAACAAGGCCTCACCTGCAGCCCTTACCACTGTACGTCCCTGCAGCGTCTACCATCCGACAGATTTAGCCCATGCCACAGTTGCTTCACACTAGGGGTGTAATCTTCCACATTGCGTCACTCCATGTCGTGTCTGCTGCACTCCACGCACTAATGGCCGTTGCGTTCCCTTTTATGCTGCTGCGTGCGTTGCTTCAACAGGGGGGTGTCTAAACAAGCTGCTGGAGGTGCTGGTGACTCTGGACGACTGGCAGGCAGCACAGGAGCTCTCGGCCTACGTGCTGCACCTGACGCCCACCCACGCTCGTGCACGGCAAGTGCTGGCCATGGCGAACGACGTGTTCCACCCGGACCCTGTGGCTCTGCAGGCTGCATTGGACGGCCTAGCTGCTCGTGCCTCTGCTACTGGAGTTCCTGCTGCTGGGGACTCTGCTGCTGCACCCCCTGCTGCTGCTGCTGCTGCTGCTGCTGCTGGCGATGAGAATGGCCTGGATGTTGGGCGGTCAGCAGGTGCAACTGCAGGGTTGGAAGCGCAGGAGCAAGGGGTTGGGCAGCAGGGGAGCGCACTGGGCAGTGAGGTGTCCGTTCAACACAGCCCGGAGTTTGAGCTGCGCGGTCGCTCCTGGGCCGAGCTGATCCTGAACACTGTACATGTATTCCGCACTGTGCAGCAGCGTTCGGTGGAAAAGCGGGGATTGGAGTACCCTCAGCCGGTGGCTGGCGTTTCCGTGAAAGTTGTGCTGGCGGACAGCCTGCAAGGAGGTGATTCCAAGCATGCACCAGAGGGTCTTGTTAGAGCTGGCGGCGAAAGTGGTTGTGGGAGGAATCTTGATGATGAAGGGCTTTCAAAGGAGCAGAAACTCCAGAGCTGCGCTGCTGGGGGGTCTATTCTATCTGGAAGGGACTCTTCTGTTGATATGGCATGCGGACCCAAGTCATGCCCAGTTGAGGCAGCATCAGAACCCACAGCGTTGCCCCAGCCTTCTCCAGCTACTCATCCCTCAGAGTCGCCTCTGCCTGAAGCACCACTTGATCCTCCCACTGCCTTGCCTCAGCCTGACCCATCCTCCCGCGTCTCTGCGTTATCCGAACACAACTTCATTGCTGTGGTTGATCTTAGCATGGACGAGGACTCACAGCCGCCTCCCGATACCACGCCAACACCTACTGCTGCTGAGCTGCCTGACACTCCAGGTCCTCCTGATGTAGACGAGGCACGACCCACACTAACACCACTTGCAGACTTGCCACTAACACAGACACCAGTGACACAGACCCCAGGGACACAGACCCCAGGGACACAGACCCCAGGGACACAGACCCCAGGGACACAGACCCCAGGGACACAGACCCCAGGGACACAGACTGCAGCAACTTCTGTCGATGTGACTCCAGTATCCACTCAGGAGGATTCGCCTGTTGTTACGCCTGCTGCTTTGACAGAAGCACCTAATGCCTCAGCTGCAGCTGTGCCATCACCTGCTGCCGCGTCACATGGTACTGCCACTGCTGATGCTGTAGCTCCTGATTCTGCAGCGCCTGCACTTCCTGCCAAGTCAAGGAAACGGCATAGGCACCCGTTGTCGTTTGTGGGCACAGAGAGGCGCACGAGGCAGCAGATAAAGGAGATGCAGCTGCAGGAGGCCAAGGGGAAGGAGAGCAGCCTGCTGGAGAGCGCTAAGCCCCTCCCACCGAAGAGGCTGCGTGTGTTTGACATTCTGAGCGCTTGCTTCAAGCAGCAGTCGCGCTTGATGGGATCCTGTGATGGAAACGGCTTGGAGGTTGCTGTGAAGAAGGGAGAGGGAAAGGAAATTTTTGCAGTTGGTGTTGCTGAGGGTGGCGTTGGTGCGGATGCTGCTGCTGCTATTGGTGCCGGCAGCACTTGTGTGGGGAGTAGTGGTGGTGGTGCGTGTGATGGATTGGAGATGCTGCACATGCTGCGACGCAAGCAGGTGCTGGTGAGGTTTTTCTCCAAGGACGAGGAATGGAGCAGCGTGGATGTAGCAGCAGGTGCTGAAGCCGGTGCCGGTGGTGCTGCTTCAGAAGGAGTTAAGGCTGTTGACAGTCGTGACCCTGCAGGAGATGCAAAGCAAGTGCAGTCATTCCTCGCTGCTCTACCCAAGCGCCTCCCACTTCTCCAGGCTGCCTCTCTTATCCTGCAGTACTTAGCCTCTCACCTTGCCCTCTGGGCCTTCACACCCTCCGTTCTGGACGCTCTCCTCTGGCTTGAAAGACAGGCAGCTTCGTGGGAAGGCCGCTCGCCCAGTGTTTGGCTGTATCTGGGGGAGGTTTATCTTGTGAGGGGGGTGCAAAGTGATGTCGAAATTAGAGGGCGGCGAGAGGCAGTGGGCGGGGCGGTGGAGAGGGAGTGCGTACATTGCCTAGCCATGGCAGAGCAGGCGCAGATGGACGAGGAGGGGGTGAGGTGGGAGGTGGATGGGGGTGCGTGGGGGCCAGTGGGGGGAGGGAGAATTGCGCCAGAACAAGCAGACGGAGAGGCGGAGGAGCTAGGTCAGGGGAAGGGGCACGACGGTTTAGGGGGTTGGGAGAAGGTGGCGTTCTGGGTTCGGCTGAGAGCAAGTCAGGGGCAGGTGGCGATGCGGAGGGGCAAGCATGGGAAGGCGATTGAGCTGTTCACGTGGTGCAGGGATGCGCTGGGCAGAGCAGAGCAAATCAAGGGCCGCTCAGATGGCGTTGAAGGGATGCTACTAGCAACGGCTGGGCCGGAAGCAGTAGCAGCACTAGCACATGCAGCAGTGGAGGTGCCGCATTTGGCATGTGTATGGGGGCCCAGTGGGGGTATCTCAGTGCAGGGTTTGGATGAGCTGCTGAGTGAGCTGCATGTGGACTGTGTCCTGGCAGGGCTGTCAGGGAAGGGAGAGGGCGAGGCAGGGCAAGAGCTCCCCCAACCGCCACAGCAGCAGCAACAGCTGATCAATATGATGAAGCCTCTGCTGTTGAGGGATGGGGCAGCAGGAATGGGCGGTGGAGCTGGGAGGCAGAAGGGCAGAAGTTACTGCCTCCCGGGCTTGGCCTCTCACAGTTCAATCTCGGATGGCTGTCAAGGGGTGAATGCAGACAGCCAGCACAGCGAGCAGAGCTCTGGCAAGTGGTTGGAGACGCTCAAGAGGGTTGTTGCTGCCACACGTGGAATGGCCCAGGAGCAGCTGCTGACACTGGTTTGTTACAAGCACATACTCGCGCTGCTGTCCAGCAGAATCAGCATGGGGGCGCTGCCCCCTGCACCTGCTAAAGCAACGCCAGCGGTGTCAGCTGCTACGGAAGGCTCTGCTGCAGCTGCTGGGAAAGCCTCTGCTGCTGGTGGTGGTGGTGGCAGAAGTGATGCTGGTGCGAGCTGTGAAGCGGAGCTGATGCAGACAGTGCAGGGGCTGAGGGACTTGACGGTCTCCATGGCGCTTGGGACAGGATTGGACTCTCTGGTAAGAATAGTATGAGGAATCGGGGAGTGGAAGTAAGGGGAAGGATGTTAGTTTCCGCATGCATTCTGTGTGTAGTCCCAATCTCCTGCTCCCTGTCTCACCTCTTTACTCTTGCCATGTCATACCACCAGGTGAACGAGCAGCACTTGGAGGAACTCCAGCAAGTCGTGGCAGTGCTTATAGATTTCGCCTTCTATAAGCACCGCTTGTTACAAGAACAACCAGCGAGCCAGCTGTCAAGGGAGGTGTATCAGCCAGGCTTGGGCGCTGCAGCAGCGAGAAGTGGAATTCTGGCAGCGTGGCAGGGGATGGTGGTGGCGTGGCAAGGGCTGTTGGTGGATCTGTGCATGGCGCTCTGCTGCCTGCAGCACTTGCGCGTGTCTGTTAATCTGACCGATACGGTGGGTGGTGAGACGAGTGAGGTTGCTGCTCCAGAATTTCTGGTTTCTTTGGCGTAGTTTTTCCATCCTGCATATGCGCTTTGATGTCATGGGCATGGCTCGACGCGAGCTTGCTGAAGTCATACAACTTGATCCTCCCTTCTTTTCAACAGGTTGCCATGTGGGCCATCACGCACAGCATCCTTGCTTCTCAAGGTCTCTGCTGCGCCACCGCCTCCCCCTCCTCATCCTCCTCCTCAGCTGCTGACATTCCCCCCTCGCCCACACCCAACACCGCCTCAGCCCCTGTCAATGCCGCATCATCTTGCCGACAAAGTGGCAAGAGCATCACGGCTGCAGCAGAGGTTGATCGAGGGGAAGGCACGCCAGCAGCAGCGAGAGCGCCCAGTGGTAAAGGCGCGTTCCTTGCCCTCTCTGCCCAGCTGCTGACCAACCTAGAGTCGCTGCTGACCCCCTCGGTGCATGCAGGAGGTAAGAAAACCAAGCTTGCTGCTGCAGGGGGAAAGGAGCCAGGAGTACGAGGCCTGAAGGGGGGAAGAGGAGGAGAAGCTAGGAAAGGAGTTGGTGGATTAGGTGCTAGAGGGGAGGCGAGGGACATGCAAAGGACTGGTGGCAATGGTGCGGGGTGTGCCGGTGACAAGGCTGAGAAAACTGCTGTTGGAGTTGGTGACACTCCTGATGCTGGGCGAGCGAGCATGGGAAAGAATGGCGGAACAGTCGGTGGTAGTGGGCAGGGAGCAAGGTTGGAGGATGCGCATGGGAAGAGATGCGCACTGCAGGAGATCGAAGGGGCTATGGGCCAATGCTTCTTGTGCCTTTATGGGGTGCAGCTGAGAGGGGCAGAGGAGGATGTGGGAGGGGAGAGTAGCGGTGGGGCTGCTGGGCAGGAGGCAGCAGCAGCAGGGCTGGTTCAGCATCAGAACACCTTGGCTGGGGAGTTGAAATCCAAGGACCAGTGCGCTCAAGCATTAAGGCACATGGCACCGTTTGTCACTTCCTTCACTGTAAGTGTTGCTACTGTTCCCTGTCTCTTTGCACACCTTCCATCCATCCTTGCTTCTCGGTTGTTGGTGGTTTGCATCGCTTCATTCTAATCCCCTTTCCCTTCCTCTCACTCCCACTGCTTGTGTCCTCAGTTCGAGCGGCTTGTGAAGCTGGTGCCGCTGCTGACGTCCATCCACTCCTTCTTCCCCTCCCCTCCCCCTGCCATCCTCGCCCGTCACTCTGTGGAGCCGTTTTTGGACGATCCACAAGTAAACGACTGGGGAATGGTGGGGAGGATTGTGTCGAAGGGGAAGAGGTTGGACGAGGGGGGGGGGGAGTTGGTAGGGGGGCATATAATGGCAGAGGATGGGGGCGCAGAGGAAGGGAGGAGGATTACAGAGGATAGGGATGGTTTGTTCGTGAAGGGCAAGGAGGCGATGAATGATGGGGGAGAACCACTCAATCGTGACAGCACATTAGATACATCGCCAGACATCCTGTCTTACATACCTGTCCTGCATCCCCACTCATTCCTCTCCGAATGGACATCCTCTCGCCATCCAGCAGCCCACCATGCAGACTTGTCCCATGCCATGAACAGTGACACTTATGCTGACGTGTACAATCCCCTCTTCGCCATGCTGGCGCGGATAGAGCCCATCCCCATGGGCCACCACATGCCGCCAGGCTTCTTCCTAGAGCCCAAGGGCCACTCGCACGTGCTGCAGGTCACTTCTCCTCTGCTGGCCGATCTCTGCTACCATCCCAGCAACACTGACTCGTGGCTCAAGCTCGCACTATTCTACGATGAGGCCTCCGACCTGATGCTGAACGATGGGGCGAAGATGAAGGGCCCTGCGGACTGGCATGCAGAGGAGGGGGTGTTGGGGAGGCTGCAGGGGTACAGGCAGCGGTGCACGCGGTGCTTGGTTGAGGCCCTTGCTACTCCGGGCTGCCGGCTTCCCTTTGAAGTGGCCGCGCTTGAGGAGAGTGATTCGAGATGGGAGGGGTGGACGGGGCGTGAGGGGAGGAAGGTTTGGGAGGGGCGGAAGGGGAGTGAGGGTTGGGAGGGGTGTGAGGAGCAGAGGAAGAGGGTGGTGAGTGTGTTGGAGCTACTGGCGTTTGTGGTGTATGACTCGATTCAGAATGTGGTGCCGTCTTACGATAGGCTCAGGCACACGCAAGTCAAGGATGACCCCTGGCTGAACCGCTGCCGCCTGGCCTTTCAACTCTTCCGCATCCTGCAATCACTCTCGTATGTTTCTCCCGTGTGTGCTCCTAGTTGGCAAAAGCTGTTGTTATCATGCAAGTAGACAGTGAGGCTCCTTTCCCCTCCATGCCTGCTCGTACTTCTGCTGCCACCCCCATCTTCTGCAACCCCCTTGTCCCCTTCTTCTCTTCGTGTGGTGCGAACCCTACCCACTTCCCATTCGCACCACCCTCTCCCTTTTCTCTCCCCTCTGTTGCAGTCCAAACTGGCAGTACCCATTCTTTCGGGGCAAGCTGGCTGAGAAGCTTCACCTGCCCGCCTCTCTTGCTCTCCCCTTGATGTGCCGAGCTGTCTCCCTGCGTCCCAATGCTGTGGACACGGCCTACCGCCTGCACGCCTCACGGCTCAAGGCGCTTGCGAGGGGGCGCCGGGAATCTGCGCTGAGTGATGATGACATCAGGGTGAGTGGTGATGATGATGGCATGGGGAAGAATGGTGATGATGACATGGTAAGAATGGTGATGATGACATGGGAAGAATGGTGATGATGACATGGGAAGAATGGTGATGATGACATGGGAAGAATGGTGATGATGACATGGGAAGAATGGTGATGATGACATGGGAAGAATGGTGATGATGACATGGGAAGAATGGTGATGATGACATGGGGATGAATGGTGATGATGTTGTAAGGACGAGTGGGAATGACAAGATGATTAGTGATGTGATGATGATGCCAGGAGGTGTTCTCATGCATGCCCTTTCTGCGTCACGTGCCGCCATCAAGGTGCTCTTTATTTCACTCGATCGATGCTCTCCTGTTTGTGGGTCTGTTTGGCGGGGTGCTGCATGGTGTGGGGTGGTGCCCAGGTTCTTGTGTCCAATAGTGAAGCCAAGGATGCACTTGCCAAGCTTCTGCAACCGAATGAAGAGGAGGCTCAGTCTGGAGGGGGTGTGACTGCGGCTGAGGGGAGTATAGCGAGGGACACTGGCCATGTGACAGATGGGGGAGAGAAAAAGGTTGAGAATGGAGAAGACGAAGGTGTGGAGGGCAGAGGAGAGGCTCAAGGAGAGAAGGGGGTGGAGAGGGGGGTTGCAGAAGGGTTGGGTTCTGACAAGGGAGCAGCGAGCAAGAACGATGGGAGTGATGAGGAATTGGAGATGGGAAAGGGGGTTGCTGAAAGGCTGGGAGTTGATAATGGAGCGGAAGGTGAGAAGGATGGGAGCGATGAGGTTTTAGAGGTGGAGAGCTCGAAGGAGGGGAAGGAAGGGGCAACACAGGAGGAAGAGATAGATGAGGGGAAGGAAGGGGCAACACAGGAGGAAGAGATAGATGAGGGGAAGGAAGGGGCAACACAGGAGGAAGAGATAGATGAGGGGAAGGAAGGGGCAACACAGGAGGAAGAGATAGATGAGGGGAAGGAAGGGGCAACACAGGAGGAAGAGATAGATGAGGGGAAGGAAGGGGCAACACAGGAGGAAGAGATAGATGAGGGGAAGGAAGGAGAAACGGAGGATAAAGAGGGGGGGGCAAAGAAGGGCGGATTGGGAGAAACGCAGGTGGAAAATGAGGAGGAAGGAGGTGGTGGTGATGGTGGTGGGGTAAGTGTAGGAGAGGGTGAAGATGACGATGATGATGTGGTGCTTGTAGAGCCGACCCAAATTGAGCCGACCCAAGTTGAGCCGACCCAAGTTGAGGCAGCGCAAGATTCCTGCTCTGTCAAAAAGCGGAAGGGCGGAGACCTGCCCAGCGCCACCGGCAAGAAGCACTCGCGACTGGCAAGAGAAGGGGAGTCGTTGGGACAAGCAGAGCAGGCTCCAGGTGGAGGGGAAGCTTCAAGAACAGCTGCAGAATCAGCTGTGCAGTCGGAGGAGCGTGGTGCAGGCATCGCTGATTTGGAAAAGGAGAAGCAGCAAGCGGAGGAGGGAGAAAGTGGAAGGCTGGGGCAGCAAGGGAAAAAACAGCAGGCTCCTCCAATTGATATCCAGCAGCTGAGGCAGCACTGGCCTTTGGTGTGGCAGCATCTGTTCCAGGAGAGCGAGAAGGGAGTGAGAGAGTGTTTAGAAGGCGATTTCAAACACTTCCACAGGGGGAGGTACTGCCTGGCGAAGGCGTATCTGAGGCGGGGAGCGCCTGGAGACTTGGAGCGGGCCAAATCAGAGCTCGGTTTTTGCTTCCGGAAGGCCAAAGTGGCTTTTGCAATGAACATGTGGGAGATTTGCGTTCACACGAAGCATGCTCCGAGGCCGAAAGGAGGGTCCAAAGGGGCGAGGGTGAGGAGGAAAGTGGTGGGGCTGGCATCGGTCGAGGTGGCTGAGAGCTCTCGGAAGTTCATGACCTGTGTGAGAGTGTACCTGTTGATGTACCTCAGGCTCTGCTGCTACACGGGCGATGTTGCTGCCTTGGAAGGGGCGCTTTCCACTCTCAAGACTGACAAAGAGGTAAGTCTCCCTTTCCCCTGACTGTACTTGATTCAGTCGTTTTCGTATACATGTTTCCAGCTCACTGAGCAGGGACACGAGGTATCAAGGCTTCTCGCTTAAACCATCTCTCCATGCCTTCCCTCCCCTTTTCCCCTTCCCTCAGTTTTCCACAGCACTCGTTGACCTAGTGCCCTTAGCTCTCGCTCTCTTCGTGCTCTCGCTTCATGCCTCCGCGCACCCAACCTCTGAGCAAACCACTCAACACGCCTCTGCTGCACTAGGCGTTGCCTCCCCAACAAGCGCCATTCCCACATCTGCGCCTGCTCCTGTGCCTGATGTTGCTGCATCTGCGATTCCGGCTCCTTCTGCTGCTGCTCCACCTGAAAACCCCGCTGCTGCAATAGCTGGTGCTGCTGAGTCCACCTCTCCATGTGCTGCTCCTGCTGCTGCGATCTCCTCGGGTGCTGATGCTTCTCCAACTGCAACTACGGTTCATGTGCTGGGTCTTGCTGCTCCTGGCGCATCAGCTGCTGCTGCTGCTTTTGGTGCTGCTGCTGGCTCTTCGGCAAGTCTACGACGAGCAGAAGGAGAATCAGGGAATGAGCCGGCAGAAGCTTCAATAGGGGACAGGCTACTGACGCTATACCTGGACAACGTTTCTATCTGGGGGGAAGCAGCTGAGGTGCTCCGATTGTCCCGGGCTGCTTTCGTTGAGACGGTGACCAGGAGTGGGGAGGATAAAACTGGCGACAAAGTTGACACAGCAGCACAGCACTTGGTTTGGGAGGAGGAGCAGGAAAGGAGCTGGTTTGATATGACAGAATGGTGAGTGCAGCTGCATTTGCCTCATGTGTGAAGTAACAGTCTGCACCGCATGCGTCCACACCACTTCATCCGCAGCTCCTGCTGTGCCACTGTGGTGAGTTCTTGTGGAGTCTACACTTTGATCTCGTAATCATTCTGTGTGTCCGTTCTGCTCTGTGCTCTCCGTTCCCACACACAGGCACGTGCTATCAGCTCTCAAGCTGTACGCTCAGAAGAGTGACCTCGACTTTTTCGCGTCAGCTGCTGCCAAAATCAGGACCCGAGCTCCCTCCTCCCCTCCTCCTCCTCCCTGCTCTCCGGCTCCTTCAGGCCCTCTTTCCGAGAAACCAGTTACCCCGTGCAACACCACCAACCCAACTCAGACCTGTATAACCCAAACAGCACCCAGACAAGATGCACCGCAACCCTCACTACCGTTCTCATCCCTTCCACCCTCGGCTCTTCACCACACTCCATCAGCACCCTCCTCCCCGCCTCCTCATAATCCACCCCACCTCCCTTTCCCTTCCTCCTCTTCCCATCCCTCCACCCCCCTTCCTCTTTCCTTTTTAAGGCAAGGTGTTGCCTTCGCCCAGCGTATGCACCTGCATACGATGCTGTGCTGGTCGCATGCCCTTCTTGGCGCTCTCTCAGACATCCTCCCTGTCTCTGCCTGGCCTCTTTTCCCCTGGCTGCACCCGCTCTCACTCTCCGACCTGCCGTCTGCCACCCCTCCTCTTCTGTGTAAGGGAACTGCCGTGACAGAAAAGGAAGAGGACAATAATGGAGGGGCAGAAGATCACACCGGGTTAGTGGAAGGAGATTGTTTGGAAGAGACTGAAGAAGACTCTGTTGGTGGAAGTGATAGTGAAGATTCAATACTCAATTTGATTTCTGACGATGAGGAGGAGGAGGAGGAGGAAGATGAAGTGGATGAGGAGGGCAACGACGAGGCAAAGGAAGTACAGGAAGGTGGGAGGCGGGATGCTGGGACTTGTATGGACGAAGCAGGTATGGGCGGGAAGGTTAGTGAAGGTGCAGGGGGAAAGGAGAGAGTGGATCATCTATCCACACCAGCAGCAGTAGGTGTGGAAGCAGGAGCAGCAGGGCCTGTCCCAGTAATGACGAGGGGAGGGCTCAGAGTTACCATACCACTCCTGCAAGGCCGGACTCTTATGCAACCAGCACCATATCCTTCCTCTGCCTCTGATGCCACTGCTCCGCTCCACAACCCCACGCAATCACAATCGCCTCTGGCTCTTCCTTCCGGCGCTAGCACAAAGGCCTTTGGTGCAATCGCAGCCACTGGTACACCTGCTGCTGGGTCTGCTGCCGCATCCCTCCCTTCCACTCCCTCTAATGCTCCTTCTTTTCCAGGCAAACCCATCTGCACCAATTCCTCTCCCTCCCCGTTCGCTACTGGGCGCCCATCCTCCCCGTTCCCCTCGCTTACTCCCCCTCGTGTCAACCTGCTCCTTGTTAAAGCCAAGGCAAGTGAAAGCGATGCGGATCGAGCACTAGCCCTGTTGCGATCAGCCCAGGCCTTGGAGCGGGAGGCCTCTGGTGAGCTTCCCTTTGGCAAAGTTCTGGGGGGGGGGAAGAAGGGGGGAGTGAGTGGTGGGGGAGGAGCGTTGGGAATGAAGCGGATGAAAGCTGCTGCCAGAGAAGGTGCGGGGTCTAGCGTGAGAGCGGATGTGCTGGGGAGGAGTGTGGGAGGAGGGGGAGTCGCGGAGTCAGGACATGGAATGCAAGTTACAGGTACGAGTTTTGTTGATAACAGTAAGGCAGGTGAAGCAGTGGAGCAAGTGGGAAGGGGGGAATCGGCTCGGGAAGGAAGGAGCAACGAGGAAGAGGAGGTGGAGGAATGGAGAACGAGGTTGCATGGTTTGAGCACGCAGTTGCTGGAAGTGGCTTATGCGCTGGTGCATGGCCGGTCCCTGGCCGCCCTTGCTGCTGCTGAACAGGCGCAGGCACAGATGAAAGTGCAGGCGGAGGAGCAGGCACGGGCAGAGGAGCTGGCAGTAGGGGGAAAGCGGGCGCAAGGAGAGGCAGCCTTGAACGGATTGGAAGACGAGGGTCAACAAGCTCTGTTGCCAGGCACAGAAACCGAGGCAAAGGTCACTACAGCAACACCACCAAAATTAACAGCAGCAGCTGCTTCAACAGCAGCTGTGTCTGCAGCTGTTGTCACAACCGCATGTAGCTCTGCAAGGCGGATGGAGCGGCATCCTTCACCTTGTAAATTGCCTTCCACCAATGCACAAGCTCTTCCTGCGACCGCTGCATCGCCATCTGCAGCTGTCTCCCGTGATGCTCCTCCCCCTGCTGTTCCAGCCCAGGCTTCTGCTGCTGCTGCTGCTGCTGCTTCTCCATCCCGTTCTCCTGTCCCAGATGCTGCGGAGGAGCGTCTCCCAGCTCCCTCTCATCCCCCCAAACTCCCTTCCTGCTCCCCCACTGGTGCTGCACCTATCCTCAAGCCTCCTCTTGCCCGCCTCCCGAAGCTGGCGCGGCGATTTCAGGCTGGCTTGAAGAGAAAGCAGGCAGAAGGGGAGGACATCGGGCGGAGTATGAGTTCGGAGGGTCGCAGTGCCAGGTGGAATGGGGATGGGGTGGTGAATGAAGCAGACAAGAGGAGACTAGGAGCCAATGAGGCAGCGGCAGCGGCAGAAGCATCGACAGGAACAGCTGCAGAAGCAGCACCTTATGAAGGAGTAATGAACGGTTGGACAGGCTGCAGCCGCACAGATGGAGTCAGAGTTGCGCCGAGCGCTGCTATAAATGGCTCCTCTGTGAAGGGGGAGTGGAAGGAGGATAGGGATGACAGGCGACGAGGTCGCTCTGAAAAAGGCCGAAAGGTGGTGGATGGAAGAGGTGTGGGCTGTGAGAGGGTGGATGTGGAGGGAGGTGAATGGCAGGTGCGTGGAGTGGAGGAAAGGCGTCTGGAGGAGAGGAAAGAAAGTGATAACGTGGTTTTGCAGCAGAATGTGCGGCTGGAGGAGAGGCGTCAGCATCGGTTAAAGGAGCCGGGTAATGTGATGGCTTCTGTGGGAGGAGCGCATGGAAAGGAAGAGGATGGGGATGAGGAGGCGGAAGAGGATGGGAAGGATGCAGGGGGCGGGAATAAGGGAGTTGAGAAACAGGGTGCGGATCATTGTAAGAGCAGTTTCGGTGGGCGTAGAGATGGTGGAGAGATTGTAAGAAAAAAAAAAGCAGGTGAAGCAGTAGATGGTAAGGCGGCACCTTTGCGCCAGGGGAGCAGGCCGGAATTGTCGGTGCAGAATGACGCAGGAAAGGTCTCTGAGGCAAAGAAGCAGCTCGCGGCTGCAGCTACGTCAGCCCAGAAAGGATTCCCATCCACTGGCCCTTCTTTGTCAAGCCCTGTCAAGCCCACCTCCAAGCCCCCTGTCAAGGCTTCCGCCAAGCTACCTTCGAAGACTGTAGTCAAACCTGGCCTCAAATCTGTCCTCAAGGCGAAGCAGACTCAGAAAGCAACCTCAACTCCTGCTGCTCCATCAATTCATGAGAATCGATCAATGCCCCATTCGGCTCCTCAAATGCACGAAGGCACTCCATCAATTTCTCATCAAGGGGCCAACAGAGGAGTCAGGCAGGGAGCATCTGTGCAGAAGAAGGCAGTCATGGCAGTGGCTGGGGCTGTGGGCGAAGACACGGGTGGGAAGGCTGGGAAGATGGGGGAACAGGAGGCGGGAACAAATGGGGTGGTAAGGAAACCTGCTGGAGGAGGCGAGCAGAAGGCAGGTGTTAGTGGTGAGGTTGGAGCAAAAAGTATGAGAGCAGTGCTGAAAAGGAAAAGAGCAGTGGCCGTTGCTGATGAGAGTGCTCGACGTATTGCTGCCCCAGGGGCGTCTGTTGATGCTGCTGTCGGTGGTGCCGATGACGATATGCCTGCGCCAACACCAGCAACAACACCAACAACAGTCACAGCAGCACCACCACGGCCAGCAGCAATGGCAGTGCCAGGCGCTGTTGATGCAAAGGCCAGTCAAGCCAAGAAAGAAGCAGCAAACAGGGCGACTCAACAGCGGCAAGGTGCACCTGTGGCTTTAGCACATACAAAATCCAAGGCACCTGTGGTCAAGGAAGTTAAGGTAGACATACCAGTCAAGTCTGCAGAAGCATTAAAAAGAAGGAATGTGGCCGCAGAAGGGACAATTTCTGACAGGACAGGGACAGTGGGGGCTGCATCAGTAGCAAAGGTTGTTGGAGAGGTGGGTACAAGCAATGCGCCAGCATCGGGACAGGGGTCCACAGGAAAAGGATCATCCAAGCTCCTTGCCAGAAAAACGGCTGCTGCGAAAAGAGAGTCGATCACAAACACAACTCAAGAGAGTGATGCCAGATCAGGCCAGGGTGTACAGGCAGCTGCAGCTAAAGTTGCTTTGTCTGGTCCGGGCAAAGGAGGTTCAGGCACAGTGGCTATGGGTGGAACGGGTTCAGGGCTTGTGAAAAAAAGGAAGCTTGGAGAGGGCAAAGACAGAGGCTCAGTTGTGAAGCTGCTTGAACAGCAGATGGAAGGAGTAGCAGCACAGGGAATGGGTAAGGCACCCGCTTTGACAGCAGGAGCAGCAACAACCTCCAAAGCTGGAGTTTCTCCAACAACGCTAGCAGATGCTGCTAATCTGTCTGATCCAGGAGTCGCCACTGGTGCTGCATCAGCTGTTGGAGTGGTAGGAAGAGGGCAGAAAAAAGGAGTGAATTCGGGTGGGGTTTCACTCAAAGTTGTTCAGGTTGGTGCTCCACGAAATCTTCCGAAACTGAAGCTGGGGAGTTCAGCACCTAAAGGTGGGACAAAGGCTGCTGCAGTAACAGTGGGACCAGTTTCAGTGGACAAAGCGGGATCAGGCAGGTCCAACCAAGTCAGTCAAAAAGGCATCTCCAAGAAAGGTGCGAAGGACAAAACGCTGGCCAATACTGGTGCTGCTCAAATGGATAGTGGTGTGCCTGGTGTAACTGATGAACTTGGCACATGCACGGATGTCACAAGGGAGGCCACGGGTGAGAAATGCACACAGGATCCTGCACCGCAAGGCGGCCACAGTTCAGCAACCATTGGCACTCCTGGTGCTACGAAGGTGCCTGCAAGAAAGAAGCAGCCCCTGGTGATAAAGATTCAGAAGCCAAGGCATGCTGTAGCTGTTGAAGGGAGCTCTTTGAGCAAAGGCCATGATCTGGAGTGATGATCACAGAAATGATTGACGTCATTGGCTGGTCGAATGAGACGTTGCATCACGTTTGTTGTAAAAATGTTTGAATCCAATATACCAGGACATTTCTAGCTTCACCAGTCTTTCAACTTGTTGGAGACAAATGGTATGAACGGTACGGTATGTTTTTGTTTTCAATATACCTGTCAATTCCAATACACCATCATGTCAGCCTTTAAACATTGCCAAACTACCAGCTCATAGACTTCTCATAACCAAGGTCTACCAACAGAGACCCCAGCTTCTCACGGATGTAGCCCTTGTTTTGCTTTGTCAAATGATTTTTCCAATCTCCTGGTGTGCCCTTCCTGAAGTGATCCTTCCCTCTGTCGTCTGCAGAAAGCACCCCTTTTGCAACAGAGCGGTAAGCTGCACTTTCCTGACCAACCTTCACTGCACTTTGGACGAAGATCTTCAAAAGAAGGCTGTTATTCAATCCATACCTGAAAAAAGTTCCACAATGAGACTCAAAGTGCATAAAACGTCAAGGCCTTACATAAAACGTAAAAACCTTACCAAGCTCCAATAGAGGCAAAAGCCGAGCCTATCCTTCTTTGCTCTTGGTACCATATGTCTTCATAGCGTACCAAGGTGAACCGAGAATCTCTGACTCTCAGAAAGTCTTTCAGAACAGTTGCATATGCACCTGCGTCAGACATCAATGGTGGTTATTCGTTGTTAATAATATCTGGACACTCATTCCAAACTCACCTTGTGTGTCGTTCCTCCAAGTGCTTCCAGTGATCATGTCAACTTCCATATTGATCCCAGCGGATTTGCTCACGTTGTTCAGCATCTGAACAAGGCATGCTTGAACTTCTCCTACGATTAGAAACTTATTGAACTGATTGCTTCGTGAGGTGTGCTCACCTGCTGATAAGATTTCCCTCCATACTCGCTGCGTGGCTCATGCACCCAGGGTTCTTGTGTTGTTTTGTGGTAGAAATATCCACTGACCACAACATCCCTGGGATCTCGGACTGTCATAATGGCCTTGTAGTTTTTGTCACCCAGAAGTTTAAGAGAGCCTAGAGCCGCGTTGTTGATCTGAAAGGATTGGTACAAACGTTAGGGAGCTGTATTACCTTCTGTGTCCAAGCGTAACGGGCATGATCCGGACCTGGCATATCTTGGATTCTGAATCGATGCAGCTTTGAATGTCGCCTTTGACGAATTTCATATTAGTCCGCATTCCGAAAATGCTGAAGATTCGGGAAAACCAAGCAGTACCTGTACCGTAACGACCTTAGTTGTGGAACCAGTTTGGTAGCTTTGCAAGTGTCTCTTACCTGTTTTGTGATGAGCCAAGTGAAGCATCACATAATCATTCTGGCTTCCAAGGTCGTGAACATAATTCTTGGTTGCAGCGTCTGTCTGGTACTTCAATGTATGCTTCTGAATCCAGTTCAAATCCGCGTACTTAACGTTGAGGTAAAAAGCCTTAGCTCTTCTGAACGTTACATTCTTCGTTGGAGTCGGAAGGGTCTCAGGCTGCTGAATGGCTGTGACTTTATCAGTAATTGGCAATCTTACGAGGACGAGGGTGCACGCAAATCCTGCAACCATGGCAAATAACATTGACCATAGAAGGCTGGATTCTTGTTTCTTCAACGGCGAAACAGAATGCAGGAGCTGGCTTTGCAGAGACATTGTGGGGAGGGTGATGGGTTGCACGCCTGAACATCGAGACTGGGGAAATGTCAAGCTATCTTCCTCACAATCGAAAATAGCATAATACATGGCAGAGCATTCGGCCTGGCAGCTCACACTGCTCTCGGTATTGCCGAAGGGGGCTCTGCTGTGACACGTTTAGGCATGTACAAGTGTAAATAAAATTGATTATAAAGATTTCTGCTAACAGAACATTCACACTGAATAATAAAATACTGACCATAAGGGAATTATTTCCTTGAAATCTTGCTCGATGATAGTTTGCACCAGTTCATCTCACCCTCAATCCTGTGGTCCTTCCTGCCCTGTTCCTCCCATCTAAGCAAGGTAACAAGTCTTGTTTGATTGGGTTTACTACAAGACAATGGCTAATTTGCATTCCAATCCAACACCTTGCAATTCCAAGGCTACGCCTAGTCAACTCACTCAACTCAAAATGTGGAACACAGTTCATTTCGGTTGTAACACGATATTTCTGGAGATCTTGTTTCCTGTCGACACCAAGGCAAAAGCATAAGAATACACACGAGTTAAGAACCCATCAGCCTTGGCTTGGACCTACAATACCACAAGCTTGACACAAGCTCTGCGTCTCACACCCGCCCTGCTAGACAAACCGCCCTAACAAGACTCTTCATGGCATAACTCCCTCTCAAGCATTCCCCCTTCCGCTTCCTTTCCCACCCCCTCGCTTCCTTGTCCTCCTCACATCTCTTCTGTGCTTCCCTTCTGTCACATTCTTGCGAAGCACTTCTCAAGAGCATTACACACCCACCCCTTCCCCCCGCCCCCCCCCCCCTCCCCCTTCGTGCCTGAGCATGTGTCCCAATGAATATAAGTGACAGATAGTGCACACCCCTCATGAGTTGGCTTCATCTTCATCCTCAATCTTTGGTGCTAGATAGAATCGAAGGTAGCCCATGTCGGCAATGGCATATTCACAAACGATTGGAAGGTCCTTGGAGATGCTCAGTCTCACAACACCAGACAGTGGAGTCGCTTTGGTGAAGGAATTCAGGTACCGCAACGCAAATGTAAGTGATACGGGCTCCCTCATATCGATGACTGTTTCATCATCAGGCTGCAAAATCATACGGCAGATATGCAGAACGTTAAAGACAGAAGACCGCAGAGGAGTTCATGAAGTGCACAGTGGGTATGTCCATTGCTCACCTCATCCACATTCAAATTTTGTCTGCAAACTATATTGGCGTTACCAATGTCGCCTGATGTAGCGAACTTTATACCCTCTTTAGTCACACTTATAATTACTGCACCAAGAATATAAAGTGGACGTACGAGTTAGGAGCTCAATGCAACAAGTTGGGTGTTGAAGACAGGAAAAAGGCACCTTCCGAATCAGAATCAGCACCCGCGCATAAACAGCAAAACCAGGAGGAACATCCCTCACCTGTGTCGCCAATGGAGCTGAGGTCTTTGCAAATGCGGAGGAACTCCCCTGCTGGCATCTTGATATTGGCATCGTACTCCTCGTCGGGAATCCCAAGATGCTCGCTGTCAATGTCCATAAGCTTCATCTCAAAATCGGATATCTTGTCTTGCTCTGGTGAACAATACACCATCGCCAGACATCAGAATAAACAATCATTCCACCGAGCAACCCACCAATTGTCAACTATATATCCGCATGGAACTACCTTTCCACGTGTTGAACTCCACACTCTAATCTGGAACCTGCTTGTTGAGAAAGAAAGAAGCTTACTTGGGCTTTCAAACATGAAGGTGACAGTGTCGCCGTCGTCTTCAGCCTTCACTGTAATGATGTCATCATTGCCTGCACATTTCAGCATCTTGGCCATGTTCACCAGATTCATCCCCAGTGTAAGATTCCTGCAGCACAACAGTTGCTAATAGTCAGCTCGTACACCCCTTCCTGTGGCCCTTATGGACGCTTATATCCACGTTGGAGCAATTAGACACGCCAAATCGTTCCTCACCTGTCGCATCGGTAGTGTTCAAACCCATCTGCTCGCAAGAGAAGCGCAACGAGTGCAACGTGGCTAGAATCCATGGCTTGGAGTGAGAAGCCAGTGGAGGAGCAATCGAAGTTAGCATCAGTGACCAGATCTTTGATCGCATCAAGAAGCTTCTTTAACACGCTTCCTTGAACCAGACGCGCCTCAAACATCGTGCTTATCAGCCGAGGAGCTACTATGAGGAGGCCAAAGTGGAAGTGGAACGTAACGAGCTACAAGTGCGAAAGCTAGGAAGGTCGAATCAACGGGAGACTTCTGGGCGACAAAACGTTCAAACAAGCTGAGTCTGAATGAACAAACGAGGGAGAAATCAGGGGAAAGGTTGAGGGGAAAAGTCTGATCTGAGTTCTGTCCTCGGCGAGTTCGAAGTTCGAATTTCAAAATGAAAACCTCATAGCGGGTAATACTGTGGTCAGAGAGTGTAGTTGCTTCTTTAGTAACCTGCATTCTCTATCTTTCAACAACAATGAACTCTGAAAGAACTGTTTGGGGAAAATGAAATCACTCCGAATCAGTATTTGATTACATACTGCTCTTAAAAAAATTAACATGTCAAGATGTTTTCTTTATACAATCTTTAAGAAACATACACGTATACTTTTTTTTCTACCGTCTAAGGAGCAATCATGTAGGCTGAATGGCTTGGGACATTTTGCTTCAGAATGCGCTAGTGCTGGAGCAGTATGCCTGCCTCAATCACCGGAACGCACCGCGCACTTGGGAGGAACAGAAGTCCTTGCTGACTCAACATGACGTGTCAACAAACAGCATCGCATTGCGGCGCGAGAGTTACGTCGCACTGTCGCTTGCCATCGCTCGACTGACACCTTTGTTGTTGTCCGTCATTCCACACGCGGCTCAGGGCAGACAACCATAAGGAGCAATCATGTAGGCTGAATGGCTTGGGACATTTTGCTTCAGAATGCGCTAGTGCTGGAGCAGTATGCCTGCCTCAATCACCGGAACGCACCGCGCACTTGGGAGGAACAGAAGTCCTTGCTGACTCAACATGACGTGTCAACAAACAGCATCGCATTGCGGCGCGAGAGTTACGTCGCACTGTCGCTTGCCATCGCTCGACTGACACCTTTGTTGTTGTCCGTCATTCCACACGCGGCTCAGGGCAGACAACCAAGCAACCAAATTTTCTTTTGGTCTCATTGTTGTTCTTGTTTCACATCAGCACAACTCCATTCGTGCTGGAAAGACCCTTCTGCTCTCACCAACATCGCTCCTACACTACAATTCGTAAATCCCTTCACACCCGTTGAGTCACGCACGGACGACCATCCCATCGCCGCGCACTCGTTGAGGCACTCCTGTACGACCAGCCTGCATTCCTTATCGAGCCACGCGCTGTATCACAGAGCACGCGCCGTATCCAAGCACGCGCCGCATCCAAGCACGCGCCGCATCCAAGCACGCGCCGTATCCAAGCACGCGCCGTATCCAAGCACGCGCCGTATCCAAGCACGCGCTGTATCCAAGCACGCGCCGTATCCAAGCACGCGCTACATCGAGGCACGCACCACGTGAAGCCCGGCGGCAGCAACATGTGTCTGTCGGTGTGGGTGCTGGACGGCCATCCGCTCTACGCGCTGCTCCTCGCCTCCAACCGCGACGAGCTCCTCGCCAGGTGCGTCACGTCGTTCCTTCGCCACCGTCGCGCACCGTCGTCCACCGTCGCTGACCGTCGTCCGTTCCCTTGTTCCCGTGTCGCTTCGCCAGACCACCGTACCACCACATCTGTCTGCCTCCCCTCGCGAACGCCTTATTTCTCTCTCCCGTGCCCATCTTTTCTTCCTCCCCTTCCCCCCAACCCCCTCCCGCACCTACTAATGGCGTCCGATTGTGCCCCTTCCCCGCTCCCCCAACTCGTCCCCACCTCTCCCGCGCCCATCCCTTCTTTCCTACCCTTCTTCCCCACCCCAAGCCGCTTCTCCATCCCCCCCGCCAGGCCCACGGACCCCGCGCACTATTGGCGCGACGACCCGCGCGTGCTCGCGGGGCGCGACTTGCAGTGCGGGGGTACGTGGCTGGGCGCGAGCACGGGCGGGCGCGTCGCGTTCCTCTCCAACTGCTGGGCTGTCCGAAATCGCGCCGACGCCATCAGCCGTGGCGCCCTCATCTCCGACTTCCTGCAGGGCGCGTGGCGCGCGGAGGGCGCGGAAGGCGCGGAAGGCGCGGAGGGCGCGGAGGGCGCAGGGGGTCCGCGGGAGTACCTGGAGTCCGTGGCGCGGCGCGCGCACCTCTTCAACGGGTTCAACCTCGTTGCTGCTGACGTGGCATTTGACGAGAGCAGGCACAGCGCGGATGCGGCTGGGGCGGAGGAGCATGACCAGGAGCGGAAGCAGGGGCGCGCAAGCACCGAGGGGGGAGGCGTAGAGGGCGCATGTGGGGGGGAAGCCAGCGGGAGCCCCTCCGCGCATGTGCGCATGTACTACCTGACCAACGCCCCGCACCACGACGGGTGTAGCGCAAGCAGAGGCGCGGATGGGGGTGGGGAGGAGAGGGACGGGGTGGTGGCTTGTGGTGTGATGCGCGTGGAGAAAGGGTTGCATGGACTCAGCAATGCGGCTCTCGACACTCCCTGGAGCAAGGTATGGGGGGAGTGGGGGAGTGTCAGGGGAGAGAGCAGTGCGACAGAGTCACAACGGAGAGCAATGGATGAGGGTAATGAATCTCTATTTACTCTCCTGCCATCCAACACCCCTTCCCCTCTCCGCGCTTCCCCTCCCTCCATTCCCCCTCCAACCCTCTCGGCCTCTGCGGCTTGTAACTTTCCCTTTTGGCAGGTGGAGCGAGCCAAGGAGCACTTAGCTGAGCTGCTGGCGGAGAGTAACGGGGGCGAGGTGCCAGCAGAGGTGATTATAGAGAGAGTGCTCATGGACTCGTGGCAGCCTGTTCACCCTCACACCAGTGCTGACGTGGCTGAGGCAGAGCACTGCCCTATGGGGCCGGAGTACGATCAGAGGCTGACACCTGTCTTTGTCAACTGCGACACTCCCAAGGTACACCACCACTCTCCCTTCTCTTCTGTCGCCCCCAATGCCGTTCAGTGTCCTGTTTCTCAACTGTCCGAACCAGCTTGTTAATCTGGTGGTACCACATTGTCTTTCACCAGATTGATTACCCCTCCTGTGCCTTATTCTGTCTCAATTTCCTCTTCTGCCCTCCTACTTCTCTCTCTTCGTCTCACCGGTCCGACCCCTCTTGGGCGCACCAGGGGGCGTATGGCACACGCAGCTGCATAGTGGTGGCGGTTCACCGCTCTGGGCTGGTCGAGTTCACGGAGAAGTCCAGGAGTGCGGATGGGCCCACTGAGTGGACCTGGAGAAGATTCAGTTTTCATATTAATAATGGAAGCACTGCTCCGTCATGTAATGGGAATGGCTACAAGCGAAAAGCCAACGAGTGAACATACTAGATTCCCAAGGCATTGAAGAATAGCGCTTTGGTTGTTGTAACCCGTAAGTTGTGGTAAAATATGTAGGTAATAACTGGATTCGCTGAAGCCCACTGTGATAGTTGTTAGTTTCCCATAATTTTATAGGATTGTATTGTATCTTTATTGAAGAGTTCAGTTTAAAAAAAGTGGCTTGAGAAGGAGATGAAGTGATTTGAGGTGAAAAATTCAGACTGATGCATGTATTAAAGAAATTAAATGCTGTAGTATGACGTGCTGCACCACAAACTGGTGATTTTTTTGGGTTGCGAAGCAACCCTTTACGATCGATTTTGCCAAATTTTATTTTCATGATTAATTAATTTATGAAAATCATGAAATTAAAATTCGTAAGCTACAGTAATACTCTTCACATACTGTATGCATGTTTAGCAGTTTGGTACTGTTTACAGTGCATTAAATCATGTGATATTTTTGCAGTTGTTAGTGCAGATTTGCTGTACTGGTTGCATGTTTTACTGTTCTATTGTGGTAATGATAAACAGATGCACACTTGATGCATAAATGATGCTATAAGATGCATAATTTTTAATATAATACGTCCATGTTTTACTATTAGATGCTATTATGATAATGATGAATAGATGCATGCTTAATGCATAAATGATGCTATAAGATGCATAATGTACGGTATGAGACGTCTTGATGCATATGTACATATGGTAATAAAATGCGTGACAGTTAACTACCCAAAAACTAAGCTACCGCCATCCCCTGCCTAGCATGGGGGGGAGGTCAATAGTGTCAGAATGAAGAATGGGTGATGCATTGATGTTGGTTGGGGTACATATAGCTAACCCTAAGTTTTGTACCCCCTAAGACAAACCTCACTATAGGCTACAACATTTGACACACCCCCATAGCCTAAGTGAGGGGTGTCTAGCAGAACCAAACGAGTACGGTCACAAGACCAGTCCAAGAAACGAAGCTCAGGGTGGATCACAACGTCACCACACAGTCTGAGCACAAACAACAGTGGCCACAAGGCCAGTCCAAGAAGTAACAGAGATATATAGAAAGCAAAGTAAACAGTACACTCAAGTCTAAGCAACACGAGAACCAGTGTCAACAAGGCCTAACTGCACACAGCACCTCTGGTGGTCACAAGGCGGAAGTGCCTTGGTGAAGATGTCTGCAGTGTTGGCCTCGGACTCCACAAACTCAAAGCGAGCCTGTCCACGCCTCTGCAACTCTCGCAGAAGAAAGTACCTGACGTGAATGTGCTTCACTCTGCTCTCCAGTCGTGGCTCTCGACAAAGGAGAATAGACGCCTTGTTGTCAGTGAACAAGGTCGGTGCAGAGCTCGGCCGCTCACCAAGGTCGGTGAGCAAGAAGGTCAACCAACGCAGCTCCTGTGCCGCCATGGCACCAGCGTAGATCTCAGCCTCAGCTGTAGAGGTCGAGACCGAAGAGGAGCGCGTGGACCGCCAGGAAACAGCTCCAGAACCCAGGCTGAAATAGTACCCCTGAGTAGACCTGTGAGTCTCAGCGTCGTCAGCGTAAGAGGAGTCACAGTGACCAGTAAGTACGACAGACTGCTGCCCTCCAAGAACTAGCCCCACGCCTGACGTCGTCGCTAGGTACTTCGCCACCCTCACAGCTGCTGTCCAGTGAACAGGACGGTGTCTCCCTGGCGCAACAAAGCGCGCAAGAACGCTGAGAGGGAAGGCGAGGTCCGGGCGAGTACAAGTCATCAGGTACATGAGGCAACCCACAAGCTCTGCGTAGGGACCACTAGGCTCGAACGGCTCGTCAGGAAAGGGTCCAGTGAGTCTGTGGTCAACAGCAAGAGGTGTGCGCTGTACTGTGGAGTGCTGAAGCCCGAACCGCTGAAGAACCTGCTGCACCATGTGCGACTGTGAAAGTGTAATGGTGCGAGCAGCTCTGTCCCTGGTGATCTGCAGGCCAAGGTAGTGGCGCAGCTCACCAAGATCAGTGCAGGTGTGTCTCTTCTGCAGTTCGGACTTCACGTGTGCCAAAGCAACCCTGTCAGGGGTGGCGAAAACAAGGTCGTCAACGTAGACCAGAACAAAGAAAGGTGTGGGGCCACGACGAACGAACAGCGACGGGTCAGCAGAAGACGGCTGGAACCCAAGGTCAGACAGGGTAGAACGCAGGGTGTCGTGCCACTCACGAGGAGCCTGACGAAGACCGTAAACCGGTCGCCTCAGCCTCCACTGGGTCCCAGGAGGGAAAGAGCCAGTGAAGGCAGAGGGACGACGCAACCAGACCTCCTCGTGAAGACTGCCCTGAAGGAAAGCAGTAGAGAAGTCGAGAGAGTGTAACTCGTAGTCTCTCTGTGCTGCTACGTGCAGTAACACCCGAAGAGTGGTCATCTTCGGGGTGGGCGCGAAGGTCTGAAAGAAGTCAACTCCCTCGCACTGACTGAAACCTCTAGCCACGTAGCGCGCCTTGAAGACCGGAGGAGATCCCGGTGGCCGCTTCACCCTGTAGATCCACATGCCGTCGACTACGTTCGCCCCCGGAGGGGGAACCTCATCGACGTAGGTGCCTGTGGATCTGTAGGAGGCCATCTCTGCGTCCATGGCAGCTCTCCACTGAGAGGCCCAAGGCCCTGACACTGCCTCAGCGTAAGTGCGAGGAGTCGGAATGTCAAGGGCGTCGGGGTCACCCTCAGGGGCGAGGAGCATGGCACAGAGATGAGGGGAAGCGGCCGCCAGGAACTCTAGCTCAAACTGCCTATCCTCTAGGGCGTCACAGCCAAGGGCAGACACACCCCCGACGGCCAGAGGACTGGAAGGAGGAGCAGCCACAAGAGCGGTGGCGAAGTCAAGGCGGCGGGTAGAGGCAAACTCAGTGACTGCGGCAGTAAGAGCGGACACAGAGGACACAGAGGCACGAGGGTGGGTAACAAGAGAGGCGAGAACACGAGAGAGAACAGGACGGTACGTGCGGTAGTAGTCAGTGACAGGAGAAGGAAGCGACACAGTGAGGGCCGACTCAGGAGGAGACGGAAGCACAGACGGAGACGGACGAGGTGGACGAGAACAAAGGAAGGCTGTACGAAGGTCAGTGAAGGGAACAGGAGACGAGGGACGAGCACGAGGGGAGCGACGAGAGGCCCAAGTCTGAGAAGGAGGAGGAGACAACGAAGACTGAGAACGAGGGAAAACAGCGGGAGAGGGGTCAGGAGGAGGAAGCGGAGGACCAGAGACGGGAGGAGAGGGGGAGGAGGAAGGAGAGGGAGACGGGAGACCAAGGGTCCGAAGACCCGAGACAGGAGGAGGAGACGGCAGCAGCTGCTGCTGCTGCTGCTGCGGCTGCTGCGGCTGCTGCTGCTCCAGCGGCTGCTGCCCCTGCTGCTGCTCCTGCTGCTGCTCCTGCTGCTGTCGCTCCTGCTCCTCGAGCCGCTGCAACTCTCTCTCCTCTCTCTCCAACTCCAGCTGCTCCTCACGAGCACGGCGAACACGAGCCTGGAACCTGGTCGGGTAGGGGTGGGGGGAAGGAGTAGTGTCCGGGGCAGCGGCAGCCCCAGAGTCGACCTCCGAAGCACCAAGCACACCACCCCCAGAGGCAGCACCAACACCAGCTCCAGACCCAGGCTCTCCAGAAACCGAAGGGACACCCTCACCCCCAGACGCAGCACCCCCAGACTCCGCACCAGCACCCCCAGACTCCGCACGACCAGTACCAGCCCCCGGAAGACAAGAGTCCTCTGCAACCCGCGGCTCAGCTCCAACTCCAGCACCCCCAGAACCAGAGACCTGTACAGGGACAGTCGCAGGACCAACCTCCCGAGAGGGAGCACCTGCAGGAGGCGGCGAGGAAGACTGTGGGGAGGGAGGCTGTACAGGGGGGGCTTTCGAAGGGGGAGGGCTAGCCTGAGACACACCAGACGGGGCTGGACCAGGGGGGGGAGGCTGTACCGGGGGAGCAGGCGGGGGAGCGGCGGTCAGGAAGAGAGGGGGGGGAGGGACCGGGAGACCTCGACTGGGGTACCTGACGTAGTAGGGGGTGGACTCCTCGAAACGGACGTCACGGGAGTCAAAGAACCGGTGAGAGGGAGGGTGGTAAAAGGTGAAGTCAGAGGAGTCCTCAGGGAAACCAAGGAAGACACAAGGAACGGCGCGAGGCGAGAGCTTGTCCGCGGAGGTGTCGCGGACAAGAGCCAAGCACCCCCAGACACGAAACCTCGACGCGACACCAGGGGACCCTGTCCAAAGACTGGTCGGTGAAGCCTCCGGCCGAGAGACGCGTGGCCAGAGGTTCAGCTGGTGCGCGGCGTACCTGACCGCGTATGTCCACAGGAAATGGGGGGCACGGGCGTGAGTCAAGGAGGTGCGGGCAATCTCCATGACCAGGCCTATGCGACGCTCAGCAACCCCATTTTGCTGTGGGGACTCCGGAAGCGTCCAGGACTGACGAATGCCCTGTTCGCGACAGAATCCAGCGAGAATGCCGGAGCGAAACTCGCCCCCGCGGTCGGAGTGGAGACAGCTGACACGACGACCACGAGTGTCCTGGGTGGTAAGCAACCACCTGATCAGCGTAGAAGTCACCTCAGACTTCCTCGCCAGGGGGAACACTGTGGTGTAGCGGGAGTAGTCGTCAACGACCACCAAAAAGAAACGCTCACGCTCAGGGCCAGGGCGAGGAGAGGGGCCCCAGACGTCCAAGTGCAGCATCTCAAAAGGCTCGGTGGCCGGACGAAGGGAGGAGGAGTGAGGGGTGGCGCGCAGCCTACCCTCGACGCAAGGACCGCACGGTGGTGCAAGGGACGGCGGCAGCGACGGCAAGACACGCGGGAGACCTAAGACAAGACGCTGACGAGACATAGCGCGAAGACGAGGAGGAGAAGGGTGCCCCAGCCGGTGGTGCCACAAAACGGTGGGGTGGGCAAGCGACCGACAGGAGCACGACGCAGCGACCGGACTAGACGGAGGAACCTGACAAGACACAGCTACCTGGGGGGACGGAGCAACCTGGTGAGA